TTTACTGAGTAATTATCCACATAAGCTCTGGTATTTTTACATAAAGCCTTTAAAAATCCTCATCACAACTGTATAAGGTAGGTACTATTATCCCATTTTACAGGGAGAGAACTGAGGCACAGAGAGGTAGGTAACTCGCCCAAGGGTCACACTGCCAACAAGTGTCAGAGAAGGACTGGGCCCCCGGCTGCCTGATGTCCGAGTGCCTGCACTTGGGCCAGTTGGTGAAACAGACAAGTAAGCGAGCGAACAACTGTAAGCAGTGTCACGAGGAGGAGAGGAGGGACAGTGGACTTTCCTAGTTTAGTGGGGGAGGTTAGGGAGGCCTTCCTGGAGGAAGGGACATGCAAAGGGAGATAAGCAGGAAAAGCAAGAGGTAGCTGTGGAAGGTGGGTAGGGATGAGGAGGCAGAGAGGAAGGTTTAAAGTAGAGGGGATGGGCTGGGCGCGATGGCTCACACCTGTAATCCCAGCACTTTGGGAGTCTGAGGTGGGCTGATCCCTTGAGGTCAGGAGTTTGAGACCAGCCTGGCGAACATGGTGAAACCCCATCTCTACTAAAAATATAAAAATTAGCTGGCATGATGGCACGTGCCTGTAATTCCAGCTACTCAGGAGGCTGGGGCAGGAGGATTGCTTGAAGCTGGGAGGCAGAGGTTGCAGTGAGCCGGGATAGAACCAATGCACTGCAGCCTGGGCGACAGAGCGAGACTCTGTCTCTAAATAAACAAACATCAAATAGCTACATAAATAAAACAAATAAATAAATAAAGTAGAGGGGACCATTTGTGCAAAAGTCTGGCCAGCAGGGAAACTCACAAGACACTATTGAGCACCTGAGTAACAGGGCACCTGGGGTGGGTAGAGGAGATGGGGCGGGGGAGGCAGGCTGGCCAGATCCCGCATGGCCTTGCAGGCTGGGCTCAGGACTGCCAGCTCAACCCTGAGGGGCAACAGGGAGCCTCTGAAAAGTTTTGAGCTGGGGAGTGACATCATCAGATGATATTCATTTCCTTGGGGCTCATTTGGGAAAGAGATGTCCCAACTTCCTCATTTTCCTGACTGTGAAAAGTCTTTTCCATTGTCTAACCTTAATGCCACATGCTAGTTTCTTGTAGGTGGGGCTTGGTAAGGAGGTAAGAGGTTCTGGGATTGAGGCTGCCAGGAAAACTGTACAGAGCTGCAGTGTGCTGGTTGCACTTCCATTGCGTGCTCTGAGCTTTGCTGCCTGTCCCCAGCCCCCACCAACACCCCCCGAACTCTCTTTCTTCTCATTGCCAAGACGCCTCCTTTACATCCTGCTTTGGAGTCACACCTTAGCACTGGAAAAGGTATCTGAGACTAGCCTGGGAGAAGTGAAAGCGGACTTAGGGATCCGAAGATTTAGATTTGACTTCTAGCTCAAATAGCTCCTTATGGTATGACTCTGACCCTGAGTTTCCTCATCTGTGAGATGGGCGTAAGAATTCCTGCCCTGCACCCTCCCAGAGAGTTATGGCACCAGTGAGGTGCTCCTTGTGAAGGTAGTTAGGCAATTCTAAATAGTACTTAGAAAGAAGGACTTACGGAGTATAACAGCCTCATTAACAGTAGCTTCCATTTATTGGGCGCTGACCATGTGCCACGTAGTTTACAGATGAGTTACATTTGGGAACTCAATTCTCTCACAGCTCTAGGAAGTACTGCACCCTATTGTCAGTCCTCTTGATTTTTTTTTTCTTGAGACAGGGTCTCGCTCTGTTGCCCAGGCTAGAGTACAGTGGCACAGTCATGGCTCACTGCAGCCTTGATCTCCTGCAGCTCAAGTGATTCTACCCTCCCGAGTGGCCAGGACTACAGGCTTGTGCCCTACACCCCGCGAATTTTTTGTAGAAAGAGGGTCTCACTTTGTTGCCCAGGCTGGTCTTGAACTCCTGGGCTCAAGTGCTCCTCCTTCCTCGGCCTCCCAAAGTGCTAAGATTACAGGTGTGAGCTGCTGTGCCTGGCCTTATTTATTTATTTTGAGTTGTCAGTCCATTTTACAGATAAAGATAGTGAGATTCCGAGAGGTCAAGAAACACGCTTCATATCCAGCAAAATGGTGGAGCTGGGATTCAAACCCAGGTGTGGGATTTTGGAATCTTAATTCCTTATGCCACATGGAATTCAAGTGCAGAGGGACACCTGGGATCTGGAGAGGGGGCGTGATTGGCTGAAGGTCGCACAGGTTTCATGAGAAAAGCCAGGCCCCCTTCCCCTCTCCCGCCTCCCCACACCCCCGCGGCTCCCGTAGGTCTGATGCCAGACTTTTCCTTGGCCAGGTCCTGCAGGGGGCGGGGCATCCCGGGCACGGGAAGCTTTCTATAAATGGAAGTGGAAGGGAGCCGGCCTCTGCGCTCCCGCCCTCCCGGGACAGCTGAGGACACAGAGCCGGAACCGCGGCTTTTTCCACACAGGCTCCAAGTGGACTGAGTTTGTTGGGACAGGAGTTTTCTGGCTGTGTCCTGCAGAGGAGGCTGGGGCTGCTGACTTTGCAGAGCTCAAGGAGGGCTGGGTGTCCCCTTGCGACCAGGATCCAGGATACCTGCTTACTAATTTGGACGCAGCTTTTGTGCCACCCTGGGCAAGCGTCCTTTCCTCTCTGGGCAGACCTCAGTTGTCCCATCTGTATGATGGGAATATGATAGTAACAGACACCAAACACCTTGCATTTTCTCAGCAGTTCTCTGAGGAGGGTGCTATTGCTGCAGGGCTGGAGAGGTTGAGGAATTTGCCCAAGGTCATACAACGTGAACTGTGAATTGGGGTTTAAACCCAGGTGGTCTTCCTCCAGTGTCCCACACTTTTAGCCTCTGCTGCTGCTGCACATATTTAAGAACCCTGTCCAACATTGCCCCTTCTGGGATTCTGGAACCAAGAGGGATGGACCTGGAGCTGAGCAAAGGGCAGGTAGCCCCTAAGCTCCTCTTCAGCCTCCCCTCACTTTAAACACTTTTAAGGCTCCACGTTGCCCTTGGATGTCCCAGGGCAGGGTTTACCCCTGTATTCCTGAAAGCTGCGCCTTTCGCGGCCCCACACACTCCTCTAACTTGCTCTTTCTTGGTGGAAGTGGTGAGGAGAGTCCCTGGGCCCGGGGCTCTGTGTGGTTGGGATGCACGGGGCAGGGGCAAGGAGGGCTCCAGCCACCTCCCCGCCCTGTTTGTGGGTGCCCCTCTCCGGCTCCCACTTCTGATTCTGACTCAGATCTCTTTCTTTGTTCCCAAGGACTCTGGGGAGTCCTGGCACCTTGGCAAATCCCCTCTTCCGTGTCATTGCCAACCTCTTCTCCTGACTTACTCTCTCCCTACGAGCCCAGGTCAGTAAAGGGAGAGGGTGGGGCAAGGGTAAAGCCTGAGTCTCCCCCAAAAGCACTTTGCCTGATTAGCCCAATCTCCACTGCACCCCGTATTTTTGAAAACTGGCTCCCGATCTTCCCATCCCTCCTACCCAGACCCGGTGACGCAGGATGTGGACCGCAGGCAGAGACTACAGGACCAGTGAAGGCCAGCCGCCCCACCTCCCATTCCTGCCTACCTCTGAAGGGCCCAGAGGGCTCCCGGAGTGCTGGGAGGCAGGAGGCCTGGATGCTGTGTCCAGTCCCTTTCCATGACCTCAGGCAAGCCTCTTCTCCCTGGCCCTCAGCTCTCTCATCTGTTCACCGAGGGGCACAGTTTTAGTTCCCTTAAAGTGCTGAACTCTGCGGTCTGTGATCCTGAGACCATCTCAGTCTCATCCACATCCTCCACCCCATTTCTCCCAATCTTCACTCTGAGCCCCGAGAAGTGGAGAAGCTGAGGACAAAAGGTTAAATGAGTCTGGGCTCACGCCTGTAATCCCAGCACTTTGGGAGGCTAAGGTGGGAGTATCACCTGAGGTCAGGAGTTCGAGACCAGCCTGGCCAACATGGTGAAACCCCGTCTCTACTAAACATAAGAAAATTAGCCGGGTATGGTGGCACACACTTGTAATCCTAGCTACTTGGGAGGCTGGGGCAGGAGAATTGCTTGAACCCTGGAGGCAGATGTTGGCAGTGAGCCGAGATCATGCCACCGTACTCCAGCCTGGGCGATAGAGCAAGACTCCGTCTCAAAAAAAAGAAAAAAAAAAAAATTAAACAGTTAAATGAGTCAGGGCTGGCAAAGGTGCTCAGTGTTCCTCTCTTCTTAAAGAATAAAGGCACCTACCTGGTGTCCACGGGTGGGCAGACTGTTGCGTTCACTACTGGCTCCTGGGACCAAGACGACTCAGAGTCCAGGTGAAGAGTCACGAGAGGCGCCAGTTCACCTCCAGACCTGCCTTAAGAGCAGCTTACCCGCCCTCTCTCCTCCCCTCTGGGCGGGCCCTGCACGTGGCCCTGACAGCAGTAGGCCCCACCCCTGCTGGGTCCAATGAGCTCAGGTAGGGCTGACACAGGCAGCAGGAAGGGAAGTACTGGATGGTGGGTTTTGGGGCCGGGTGTGTGTGAGGGGCTCCCAAGTTCCTGCTTGGCCTTCTTGTGGCACCACATGGCCAGGGAGTCCTTGCTTGGACAGGGCATTGCTAGGATCAAGGTGTGCAGTGGGCACTCCTCAGGTGCTGGCTGGGGCAGAGGACATGGGTTGGCAGAACTGGCAGAGAGTGAGGGTCTTGACAAAGCAGGGTGCCAGTGGGCAGGAGACCCTCTGCAGCCCCCCTTTGTGCTGCGTCATGCTGGAACAGGCACAGGGTAGGGGCCCACTGGAGGTAAGGCTAGGCACGAGCTTGTCTTTTCTTCTTTCTCTCCTTTTACAGTAATGACTCTAGCCTGGAATGGGGCCTCTAACTCAAGGAAAGGAGGCTGAAGTGTCTGGAGGCCTTCAAGAAGGGGCTTATAGCTGTTCCTTCACTCACAGGCTCTCTCCGTCCCTCGTCTGGTCTGTGCCTCAGGGTGGAAGTTCCCTGAGGGGAGGACATTGGAGGGTGATACCAGGAAGCCCGGAAGTCTGGTTTGGTAGCTCCTTCTCCGTGGTTCCAACTCTCTCCCTGTTCTAGAGGGGCCAGGGGTCCTAGAATGTTGTAAGGGGGTGTTCAGCCATGGTGGGGGAGGGCGCTGATGGCAGAGCCTGGTCTGGGGGCGCTGGTCTGAAGTGAGGGAGCTGGTGAAGTCTCCAGCCCAGGGACTTATGGTGACCCCAGTAGGCTAATCTCAGGGGTGGGTTGCCCCATGCCCCCATTATGCCCAGTGGAAGGGCTTCTGGCCTTACAGTTTTTGATGCCCTGGGGTTTCACTGAGGCATGGTGAGCTAGCACATGGGAGGCTGGTGAGCAAAGCTATGCAAAGTTATATAAGGTGCCCCTTCCTGATGGTGGCATAAAAGGTGTCCCTAGGTGTCCATGCAGCCTTGTTGGCACATGGCTTGGTGAGCAATTATGTCTTTGGATGAAAAATGTGATGCTCCTGCCCTGGAGTGGATGTCACTGCACACGGCAGCTTCCCCCATGAGGCTGCGGCTCAGGACTGTGGGAGAGTGGGCAGGGCAACTGGTGAGTTTCTTGAACGGAAGGGGCAGGTTACAATAGGGCAAAGTGTTGGGCTAAGACTGTGGTAACCCTGGCCATCTCCCCTGGGGCTGGCATGGATAGCCTCTGCAGTGGTTCTTCAGGGCCAGGGGACCCTCCAGCCATTCAAACCCATACCTTGGGGTTATGGTCTTTCTTGGCAGATTGGCTCTTTTGTCTCACACCCAGCTGCTTCCTTTAGCTTGGTGGTCCCAGAACACTGCCTCACAGACCCTGCCCAACACCATGCCACTGCCCTTCGCCATGATCATCAAGGGATGGATGGAATGGCATTTCTTTATACATCTGTAGATATGACATTTTTTCTTTAGCCTATGGATGTGATAGATTACATTACTTGACTTTTGAATGTTGAACCCTCCTTGCATACCTGGGATGAACCCC